TTCAGTGTACATGTATATATGTTGTACCGGTTCAGGAGAAGACTTGTATACATACACAATAACATTTGTTGAAACCAAAAACTATACATTGATGGTCGTAGGTGTATTATACAGCAACAGACATTTGATTACACATTGTTGTAAGTACTATGTATATAAATATATCACGAAAATAACAAGTATTACAAAATCAAATACCTTCAGTAACGGCTATCAAAATAGGCAGAGAATGCTTTGGAAGGGAAGTAACTCGTATATAACTACATGTACAACTCTTAGCTGTTATCGTAGGCATACAATTAACGATAAATTTCGATACATTCTACTGTTATGATCGACCTGATATTTTGCACAAAGTTAGGTAAGTGGAAAATATTTATGAATCAGAAGACAGAAGTAAAAAATATTGATTAACGAATTCTCGGGCGCGCGAACACTTACCCGGACACTCATTCCTCCGTGGACACTCAATCCAACCTCGTGAAAATAGTATTTACCGACGTATTTAGGTACTTTCTACTGTTACGCTTGAACTTAAATTTTGCACACACCTAGATAAGTTAACAATATTTAAGAATCAGAAGAAAAAAATGAAAAAAATCTAATAACGAACTCTCGGGCGCGCAAAAACCTCCCAGGACACTCATTCTTCCATAATAGGCATATTTCGGTACTTTTTACTGTTACGAACGAACTTAAATTTTGCACACACCCAGATAAGTGAACAATATTTGAAAATCAGAAGAAAAAAGTTAAAAAAATCTAATAACGAACTTTCGGACGCGCAAAAACCTCCGAGGACACTCTGAGAACACTCATTACTCGGAGGACACTCATTAGGGTGACGCCTGTATGTGAGTAGAATCTTTAATTACTGCTTATTCTGTTTTGTCTTTGAAATGATATATTTTTTGTCTTTTAAATAGCATAAATCACTATTCCTGATATTTCAGTAGCAAAAGATCTAAAATCTTATAGATAAGGACTTACCAAGACTAAAATGTCCAAGGTTCTTTGTACATCTGGTGAGTGAATATGTCGTGGACGTCTGGTAGCAGAATTCACGCAAGCTTGATGGACCTACGACTGAAACTTCAGGGGAATTAACAATATCATGAAGCGCGCCGGCTAAAACAAATTATATTTAGAAACCGAAAGTAAAGCACTGCGCATGTGCACTGTCCAAGCTTCCTGTTCTGGTTCTATCTGTTGTAATCCGCATGATATGTCCGGTGCTTAGACCATTGAGAGTATCAAAAACTGGTAACATACTATACCTCGACTCCATTTTGGGAGTGGATATGGCTGAACCCCTGATTGCCGGACTTTTGTGTCTAATTATCTGTAAGTATATGAAGCATTTATTTTTTTGGTAATGTTACATGTAACCAGAGACGTATAAAGCCATATAGATATACGTCTCTGTTTTAATGTGTGCTATTTATAGCTACTCCGCAACACACTATAAGCAATGTAGGTGATACAATTTGTCATTTTCACAAAAATTTAGACAACTGAATTTACATATTTTTGTACACAATTGTACCTCATTGTTACATCGCTATCCTCATTTTCATAGTCCGTTCCAAATGTCCAGTTTGACCACTTGGATTGTTCGGGAAAATCAGGTGCTAAAAATAGCGACGATAACGTCACCTGACTAGTGACTAGGCAGTATTAGTTACTGTTCAAAGGGGCCCCCAGAGAGGGGCCGTAAGGCAACTGCAACTTCTTATCGCAATATGAAACCATGGCCAAGTAATATGATTTCTAAGTCCATATTCAAACTTATTGAACAGTAATTATTCATCATCAGAAGTTAATTGCACACTTGCCAATATTCAGAATTTAAATTTATTTAGCTCTGCCGTCATACATTTACAATTAAATGTCAACAATGATAATAGACATAAACATGAGAAGATAGCCGTAGGCTGGTGGTTTTTCTCCGGGAACTCTGGCTTTCCTCCACCACCAAAACCTGGCACGTCCTTAAATAACAGCTGTTTATAGGACGTAAAACACAAACAAACCAAACCAAAATATATATTGAATTTAGTACCGGAATGTGACCGGTACAGGTGGTACGGGGCTAACCACCTTCCATCAACCATGGGGAAAACTTTTCTGTAAAAAGGAATATTCACGAGACGAATATCCCTTTTCAAATGTTTTCATAAAGTGCATACATGCAATGACAAACTACACGCGTATAAAAATGAGAAACGTTTGTGATTTTTTTTATTACATTGTACAACTCAATGTCTTTGGCCATTTTTTTTCTAGGCCATGCATATAAATGTATGCATATACTCTCTTTCCCACTTTCACTGTCTCCATACGCTAACACTTAATAAGTCATATTAGCCATCACACACAATAAACTGTATGGCAAAACCACTACGTGTACATGTACAATATGTGTCAGATATGAAACGTGTTGAGATACTTGATAATTATATTTTTTCAATACTTTACAGAGATTAAAGCATACTTGTAAATGGGCCTTTTTTATGTTGAGACAACTTTTCTTTAATCAGTTCCTTTTGTCTGAAACAGAAGCTGTAGTTATCGGCAGCATGCACCATTTTCACAACGTAATCAACATTTTTTTCCCTCTGTTTTCAATACGTATTCCTATTCTATCTGAAGTTGAAAATTAATTCTTTATAGAGAAAAGGTTGTTATATTACATGATCATACTATATACATTCTAAGTCAACACCATGTGAAAACATGAACTGTTGAAAAATTACGATTTAAAAATAAAATGTTATGCAAACCTATTTACTAGAAGTAGGTTCTCCTTCCTCAGTTATTCATCCTGGTCCGTCATTTTGACATTTTTAGCTCACCTGGCCCCTAGCTTTCTGACGAAGAGCGATTTTTTTATATATTGCGTTGTCGCGCCAGAGGAGGCCGGATATTCATATTAGTACTAATTTAAATTTTGCATGTCAAACCAAAAAAACCCTTTTAATTCAGCAATATACTTAAATCGTACCATTTTACTAAACCCAGTAATATTATAAATTATGTAAATCTAATGGCGCACGTATCTCATTTGACCCCGAGTACCGACAGAGGAGAGAACAGAATACGCCGTGGCCATCACAACAGTTATCCCTTGGAGGGTCTCATGGCATGATCAAACTAACCAGTCACTTATCCCTTCCTTTTGCATAAACCACTGTATAATTATAGAAACACAAAGTAAACTCTCTCCGATACATGCCCATTAACATATATTGAACTAAGTTCATCTGTGTTCAAACTCAGACAAAGATACTAGCGAGGTTAATAGTTTCAGATATTTATTCATAACATAAACAGCGCTAGCATTTCTGTCGATTCCATTTCAGCTTAACCGGCTATCCGGAAGAATACATGCACCGTACTAAATGCTGGGGCAGTTTTGAATTTCTGTTTTTTCATTGCTGAAACAAAATATTCATGGTAATTTAATGGAGTTTAACAAAAATAAGGGCCCTTAAAAAGGTCATGTTTCATGGGCTTTTTCATGGCTTTTTCATGGCATTCATCTCATGGCTTTTTCATGGCCATATGTACAGTAGTGATATTGGTATAAATGTATGTTTATGTGTGCTGTGACCCATATCAGTATAGCATATTGGTATAAATGTATGTTTATGTGTGCTGTGACCCATATCAGTATAGCATATGTGTATTTCAGACATTTGAAACAAACCCCTGTGGTAGATCTATTCGGTCCCGTCTTATATGAAATACAGTCAAACAGCAATGTCATATAAAATTTTCGTCCTTTCAAACATTTTTCCATTTTTCCTGTCTAATTCAATTACTGCAGCTTCACATTCCAGAAGATGTAGAACCTCGAAATTAAGCGTAGACTCGCAGCTGAGCCTGCGCACCACGTCTAGACATTATTCTTTCGCGATGACGCATCAGTATATTAGATATCTTATGAATTTATCAACAAAAAATAAATGACATTTAAAATATGGTTTTGTGTTTTGTTTCTACATAATTTGGCTGTATTGAACTTAATTTCAACATACACCATCATTTTGTATGATGGTCCTTCAAATGCCGACTATATTTTTAGCTCACCTGGCCCGAAGGGCCAAGTGAGCTTATGCCATGGTGCGGCGGTCGTCCGGCGTCAATATTTTACTTTAAACAACTTCTTCATAATAACCGCAAGGCCTAGGGTGATGATATTTGGCCAGAAGCAAACTGGGATGAAGGGCTACCAAGTTTGTTAAAATAAATTACCTTCACCTATATTCAAGGTCACAGGGGTCAAATATGTTAAAAACTTTAAACAACTTCTTCTGAATAACCAAAATGCCCAGGGTGATGATATTTGGCCAGTAGCAGGCTGGGATAAAGGGCTTCCATGTTTGTTCAAATAAATGACCTCCACTCATATTCAAGGTCACAGGGGTCAATTGTCTTAAAAGTTTTATAAACAACTTCTTCAGAATAACCAAAAGGACCAATATGGTGATATTTGGCCAGAAGCATGCTGGGATGAAGGGCTACCAAGTTTGTTCAAATGAATGACCTTCACTTATATTCGAGGTCACAGGGGTAGAAAATGTTAAAAACTTTAAACAACTTATTCTGAATAACCGAAAAGCCCAGGGTGATGATATTTGGTCAGTAGCATGCTGGGATGAACGTCACTGTACCGAAAATGGGACACTTGTGAGAAAACGACCCAAGAAACTGGCATTCAATGCAAAGAAGTACTTTTATGTAGCAGTTTTCATTTGATAATAATTTTCATGACAATTAAACTGTATTAAGCTTTCTTGGCTGCTGATTATCGTTACGTGGACAATTTAAAGGTAAGAATAACTACCAAAACAAGACTTTCCTGATTTATGTACCGTGTGACGCTATTTTATTTGGATATCATTTTTAAAAGGCTATTTTATCAAAACTGATGCTAGTTTGGAGAAGAAATTTAATCGGAACCCTCGTTGACTCTAAAATATTTCAACTATGCATATTTTCTGCCGATATTGATCGTTTATCCCCAAATATTCGCCAAAATGCCATAAGTGTCCCTTTCAGAGTACAGTAATAATGGTTCATTAGGGCCTATTATATAGCTAGTTAAACGTAGATGGTATTTCACGTTCTTTTTATAGAACCACGCGTCTGAAATATCAAATTGTGATAGAAATGAAAAGTGGATAGTATCTTTTTATGAAAAATGAAAATACATTTTTGGAACCGATAGTATTGGTATAATAATATACAACATTTATATAGCGCCCTATATAATATGTAAAATTACTCTCAAGCGCTTTACAACATATGGATAATAATAATGGAACATTTATGTATACTTATCTAAAAAGTGTCCGATTTTGGTACAGTGCCGTTAGTCGAATATCTCCATTCGACTTGGGTATTACAATGACAGGACTAACCTTTGCACTAAGTTCCTCTACTTTCTCAATAATGTCCAGTGATTCTAGTTCCTTTATTTTTGCCTCAAGTTTTTCTCTGTTTTGTCTCCCAGTGTAACATCAGAATCAAAACACCCTGCTAAAGGTGCCGCAGTGGCCAAGTGGTTACAGCGTCTGACATTCTGCTACCACTAGCCCTCCACCACTGGGTCACGGGTTTGAGACCTACGTGGGGCAGTCACCAGGTACTGGCCGTAGGCTGGTGGTTTTTCTCCGGGAACTCTGGCTTTCCTCCACCACCAAAACCTGGCACGTCCTTAAATAACAGCTGTTAATCGGACGTAAAACACAAACAAACCAAACCAAAACATCCTGCTAAAAACAAAGGCTGGTTGCTCCCATAAGCGAACAGTTTCTTGTCAGTATTTCTACTTTTACAGCTAATCTTCCACTTTTTAAGTTTCTCCCAGAGTTCTCTGTCTATAATATTGACACCTGTCCCGGGAATCAACTGTATATCTTGGGTCTATAAAACCACATGTTGACCTCAAGAAAAGTCTGTAATTTATAAATATGCATAGATATAAACTATATTTCCTAAGGGTTTGAACCATTCTTGGTTCCTTTGACCTAAAAATCAATCGTGTCAGGAGGAATCTAGCTCCTTTTGGAGCTGCATGGGCACAACATGGTATAACTTTATTCCTGAATAGTTTAACATATTTCAACCAAACTTGTACTGTTGAGGGCCTGCAGTCACACCTAGATGATCGGGGACGCCGGAGCTACACCGAAGTACAAATTTGATTTCGGGGATCGGTACCAGTATGGCAGCACAACGGTATCACATCTCTCAAAAGGGAAGTTCGTCATCAGGACATTGTCAGAACATAGGGGGAAAAAATAGCAACGGCAGGTGACAGTAGACATTTTTGAACATACTCAAAAATATCTGCTGTTGCGCGGCCAGAGCAAGCAAAGGGACTACAACGGCAGTCCTCTGGTTTGACTTCGTTATGTCAGTAGATTAGCACCGGTATCGCCCTGTAATGGATCAGCAGCTCTCCGGTGGCCTCAATGTGTACCGTACCGGTACCGATGTGATGCTGTAGTACTATCTAATACCACCAAAGTAGTACTGATGCCTCAGTATACGTCGGCGGTGCATCAGGAACACTAAGTTGACAGAAAAGTGGTATTCGGTAACACATCGGCTCTTATATAAAAAAAAATCTAGGAAAATGCCAACTGTCATTCAGGAAAGTGGCACAGTGTTTATGTCATCTTATCCTGTTGTAGCAGTCATTTTTAAGAGTTTGAATTATCTGCTAGTCATTCCCTTCGAATGTTAAATTCTTTATTTTTTCCTCATGCACCAATACAATGTAGAGACTATTATAATGTTATTTGTTTGTATTTTTTTAGGTTTGGCTTCTGGAGACGATATTACGCTGAACAAAAACGCTGTAAGAAAGTCAGACCTTCAGATATTTATTGATACCAGAACAATAACTAATGCAGTGGTTTTGAATAAGCCGGATGGATCAGAAGAAGGAAGATGTTCAGCACCACTTAGCGTCAATCCTGTACTTTGTTCTGCAAACTTCGCTCAAAATGGCACTATAACAACTGTCACTTTATCATCTGTAGCAAGAGCAAATCATCAAGGTGTATGGACAAGTATACATGGAAGTGACAATGGGAATATTAACATTACTGTATTGAGTAAGTATCAGTCACATTTCAAAGCTATTACCATATTTTACAAACTTTAATAATATTGTTCCATATCACTATCCCTGGAAAAATGAAACATCATTATTGTAAAAGTGATGGCATTTCAGACAAAAAAAATAGAGTGTGATTACATGTACCCAAAATTGTTAAGTTATTTGAAATAACATGGCATCATATATGTATTCAAGTAGCTTCTTCTGAAGAACGAGAAGGTCTAGAGAGCTAACATAGAGTGCAACAATTTTGCAAACAGTAATGGCTTTGACATCTGTTAACGCTAACAGTGTTCAAATGTGTAATAAAAGCAAGCAACTTCTACTAAAGAACCTAAATGACTAGTGCAGTGATCATGATATTTGGCAAGTAGATTGGTTGAATTGTGTAATACAAAATTTGCAAAGAGATCCCTTGGACTTATGTACCTGGTAACTGAGTTCAAACTTATTAAAATACTTCAGCAATCTCTTCTAAACAATTCAAAGGTCTAGACGAAAGATTTGGCACAGATTGCTACTCAGTTTTGATAAAGAAATGACCTTGTTAGAATTGGAGGGGGGCCAGGGAGGGCCTAATTGTAGTTATCCTTGTGTAACCCTTGTCATAGGTTACCCCCTGCAAAATTTTGTTCTTGTCATTAAAAATAGTTCATGAACCGTTCTTGAGCAGATTAAGAACAGTTCAAGAACGTCAAAGGTTTAGAAGATGTTCTTAAGAAGTTCTTAAAAAGTCCTTGGAGTATTTTAAAAACAGTTCAAGAACTGATACAGTTCATAGGTCTTAGGTTTAGATTACTCAAGTGTTGAAATTCATTAAAGCTGACAGTACAAGTTAAAAAGTTTTCAATTATGATTACAAAAAGTAATATTTTCTTGGGTAATGTGCTTTTGTATACCATGGCAGATCCATACTTGTTACCTTAAAGCAAGTACATTCTAAAATGTTAATACCATACTTCCTGGATACGACGGCGGAAATAGATAGTCACTTAATGGGAACATCTCAAAACCAGAAAAATAAAAAAATAAATGTTTTGTTTTTTTAATCTTCATTGAAAGCTTTTTCATTGCACTGTCAGCTTTAATTTTACTTGAAATCTTTGTAACAGGATCCTGATATTCATCATGGAGGTTCCTTACAGGTTCCACATTCATGTAGGGTAGTAAAAATAAATATTTTTGATGTTTGAAAGTCAATTTATTTTACTCTAGTGGGATGGCGTGATTCTCCAAAATCAAAAGTAGTACCGGAACTACATTTCAAACTTTGATTGCTGAAAATTTTAACTTTAACCCACAAATAGGCAACAGCTGAAGTAAAACGTTCTTTGATATGTTTTCCATCAAAACCTATTTTGGATGTTTTCCAAGCTGATCAAATCCAACTTTGTCCATTATCTGTCTTCTGTCATCCATATATGTCCATCCTAAACAAAATTTTATCACCATTTCTCATGCATAGATCTTTCTCAAATTTCATGATTATGTCCCCTTTGGTCCCTTTTTGTGCATGGCTCATTTTGAGACTGATGGGGGAAAAGATGGCCACTAGAAAAGATGGCCACTAGGCAGCCGTTTTCAATTTCCACAATTCAACTTCAAGTTTGCTAATACTTTTCTCAAGAAGCACTCGACAGATCTTTCTCAATTTCCTTATGCAGGTTTCCCTTGGTAACTAGATAGCTCACCATGGTGGACTATTCAAATTGCCTGTCATTCGTGAAACCACCCAAGGACTGTTCTTAAAAGTTCTTATCGCTATTAGTATATTACTCAAGAAGTGCTTAACATGGCTTGCTCAAATTTCATAAACAAGTTCGAATTCCCCTTGGTCCCTTGTTGTGCATGAATCATTTTAAGACTTATCAGAAATAAAAAGATGGCCACCAGGCAGCCATCTTTGATTTTGCCAGTTCAAGTTTTTTATTGCTGTATTTTTGGGTTAAACTTGGTCAGAATCATCCTTGGTAGATGAGGCTACACAATTGTAAAATTGGGATTCCTACCCCAACCCGAGGCCAGGGCGGGGCCCCAAAGGGAAAATTAACCAATATTTCAAAAATCTTGTTCTCCAGACTCAGAGGTACTACAGTCATTTTCTCTACATGGAAAGAAAGATCATCAGGGACATATTACTTATTTCAAAATCTGTTAACATTGCAACTCAATGGAGGCCCCTGATTAGTTGAAAGTCAGATATTGTGGTCCCAGTTGGGTTAGAACATAGATATCTGGTCTGGTTTTGAGGAAATTTCATATAAAGATGTACTAATGCATTTAGTTGTAATGACTTAAATATAAAACCAGATGAGCGATACAGGTCCAATGGACCTCTTGTTCTAACTTAGTCTGGAGCATCCTTTGGCCAAGGAAACACAATTTTGTATAAACGGTGGGTGTAGCCCCCTTGGGGGCAGTGGGGCGGGCCAAATAGGGGAAATATCTACTTCTAGGTAAAACCTTCAAAATCGTTCTTCTACCAGAGGGATTAAGGGATTTTATCCTTAATAAATCTGGAGCATCTTTAGTCCAAGGGGACAGAACTTTGTATAAACAGTGGGTGTGACACCCCTGGGGGCAGATCGAGGGGTGGGGCCAAACAATAGAAATAGAAGTAAAACCTTTAAAATCCTTCTTCTACCGTGGGGATTAAGGGATTTCATTCTAATTCGATCATCTTTTGGCCAAGGGGATTCAATTTTATATAAATGGCGGGTGTACCCCCCCCCCCCCCCTCCCTGGGGGCAGAGGGGCAGGGCAAAATAGGGGGAAATAGAAGTAAAAACTTTAAAATCATTCTTCTTTTGTAGGGATTACGGTGTTTCATCCTTATTAGGTCTGGTGCATCCTTGGGCCAAGGGGACTCAATTTTGTATAAACAGTGGGTGTGGCCCCCTTGGGGGGAGAGGCGTGGGGCCAAATAATGGAAAGAGAGTTAAACCCTTTAAAATCCTTCTTCCACCATAGGGATTAAGGGATTTTATTCTAACTTAATCGTGAGCATCCTTTGGCCAAGGTGACTCAATTTTGTATAAACGGTGGGTGTGGCCCCCCTAAGGGCAGATGGGCGGTGCCAAACAATGGAAAAAGAGGTAAAACCTTTAAAATCCTTCTTCTACCATAGGGATTAAGGGATTTCATTCTAACTTAGTCAGGTGCATCCTTCGGGCAAGGTAACTCAATTTTGTATAAACAGTGGGTGTGACACCCTTTGGGGCAGAGGGGTGGGGCCAAACAATAGAAATAGAAGCAAAACCTTTAAAATCCTTTTTCTACNCATCCTTGGGGCATGGGAACTCAATTTTGTATAAACAGTGGGTGTGACCCCCTTTGGGGCAGAGGGGCGGGGCCTCATAATGGAAATAGAGGTAAAACATTTAAAATCCTTCTTTTAACGTAGGGATTAAAGGATTTTATCCTTATTATTTTGTATAAACGGTGGGTGTGACCCCCTTGGGGGCAGAGGGGCACGGGCCGAATAGGGGAAATAGAGATGAAACCTTTAAAATCATTCTTCTACCATAGAGATTAAAGTGTTTTATTCTAAATTAGTCTGAAGCATCCTTGCATCTTGGTCTTGATGTGGCCCCCCTGGGGGCAGAGGGGTGGATCCAAATAGTGGAAACAGAGCAAATTCTTCAAAATCCTATTCCTTCTGTAGGAAAGACAGGATTTTGTCCAAATTTGGTATGAATTATCCTTGGATGAATGGGACCAATTTTGTATAGACGGTGTGTCTGACCCCCCGAGGGGGCAGAGAGGCAGGGCCAAATAAGGGATATAGAGGAATAGCTTTAATATCCTTTTTTCTTCCGTTAGGATGGAGGTATTTTGACCAAATTAGAACAGTAGCATGCTATGCAGAAGGGAAATCAATTTTGTGTAAATGGTGTGTCTGACCCCCTGGAGCCTGAGAGGTGGTACGAATAACATGATTTTGTCCATATTCGGTCTAAAGCATCATTGGGTAAAGGCGACCTGATTTTGTAACAAAGGTGGGTCTGACCCCCCTTGGGGCAGAGGGGCGGGGCCCAATAGGGGAAACATAGCAAATTCTTCAAAATCCTTCCTTTTCTGTAGGAATGACAGGATTTTGTCCAATTGCATATAAATATAACCCCTGACTAACCATGTAACTCATGTACACTACCAGCAACATCTAGCTATTCTAACTTCAATTTTACTACCATTTCCAGGTGAGCGATACAGGCCCTCTGGGCCTCTTGTTCTGTTATGAGAATGTAAAAATATGTAATTCCCTGTTGCCATAAATATATTTCAGTTATTAGCTCACCTGGTCTGAAGGACCAATGTGAGTTTATGCCAAACTGTGGCGTCCGTCGTCTGTATGTCAACAATTTCTTTGAACGACCCCTTCTTAACCACTGATTGGAATTTGACTAAATTTGACAGGAAGCATTCCTAGGTGGTGGGGATTCAAAAGTATACAAATGGTGGGGCTGACCCCCAGAGGGCTGAAGGGCAGGGCCAAAAGGGGGCACTTTGGCTATATATTGCTTTAAGCAACTTCTTCTCTGGAACTAAGAGATAGATATCAACCATATTTGACTGGAAGCATCCCTAGGTGGTGGGGAATCAATAGTGTACAAATAGTGGGGCTGACCCCACAGGGGGCTGAGGGGCGGGCCAAAAGAGGACAATTTGGCTATATTGCTTTAAGCGACCTCTTATCTGGAACTAAGAGATGGATATCAACCATATTTGACTGGAAGCAACCCTAGGTGGTGGGGATTTACAATTTTACACATGGTGGGGCTGACCCCCCCAGGGGGCTGATGGGCGGGGCCAAAAGGGGGCAATTTGGCTATATTCCTATAAATGACTTCTCCTGTAGAGCTGTGCCATGGATATCGATCATATTTGGTAGGAAGCATTTAGCATTCATGGGAAGTAGGGATTTAAATTGTAAAAATGGTGGGGCTGACTCCCTCGGGCTAAGGAGTGGAGCCAAAAATGGTTAATTACTTGGAA